TCATCCAGACAGCCACAGCAGCCAGGCACTCGACCAGCACCTGTGGGGCTTCCTTGGAGTTAGGAGGAAAAGAGTAGTAGAGTTGCGTGTCATCTGCGTAGAGATGGCACCCAACTCCAAAACTCAGGATGACCTCTCCCAGCGGTTTCATGTAGATATTAAAAAGCATGGGAGAGAGAATGGAACCTTGCGGGACCCCACAGGTCAAAGGCCAGGGGTCCGAGCAGGTGTCTCCCAGCTTCACCATGTGGGACCGACCCTCCAGGAAGGACCAGAGACACGACAAAGCCGTGCCTCCAAGGCTGATCCCGGAGAGTCGTCCCAGAAGGATACCATGATCGATGGTATCGAAAGCCGCTGAGATATCCAAGAGAACCAGCAGGGTCACACTCCCCCTGTTCAGCTCCCTGCGGAGGTCATCCACCAAGGCGACCAAAGCCATCTCGGTACCATGACCAGGTCTGAAGCCAGACTGTGACAGATCCAGATAGTTGATGCCATCCAAGAAACCCTGGAGCTGAGAGGCGACCACCCACTCCAACACCTTACCCAAAAAAGGAAGGTTGGAGTTTGGTCTATAGTTGTCCAAGACCATGGAGTCAAGGGAGGTCTTTTTCAGCCTGCTTTAGTCCGGATGGAAAAATCCCTTGCTCCAACGATACATTAATGATCAACATAAACCAATCAATCAAACCACCTTTGGCCGATTTAATTAGCCAAGATAGGCAAGGATCCAGAGCCGACGTGGTCGCCCTCACAGCCCTGAAGACCTCCTCCACGTCCTCAGGACGAACAAGCCGGAAAGAATCCCACAAAACCGGACAAGCAGATGCCTCGGTCACCTCCCCAGCACTGTGATGGAACTGGAGTCCAACTCAAGACGTATCTGGGTGACTTTATCTACAAAATGGTGCACAGACTCGCAGCACCGAGTTGTCGGGTCATCGAAGGCCTCCTCCACCTCAGGGGGGTGAAGGAGTTCCCCAACAACCCGAAACAACTCCGAAGATCTATTAGATGCAGACGCTATAAGGGCAGTCGTGAAAGTCTCCCTGGCTACCCGTATAGCCACGGAATCGGCCATAAGTGAGGCTCTAGCCCGTATTTGGTCAGAGGCATCATGAGATTTCCTCCATTTGCACTCTAGCCTCCTTCTCGTGTGCTTCATCACAGCCAACTCCCCAGTGAACCAAGGAGATGGTGTGTCTCTACGCAACGAGATGGGGCGTTCGGGAGCGATCGTGTTTATCACCCTGGCCATCTCACTGTTGTAGCGATCAACCAGGGTGTCGACAGGATCGCCAGGCTCCATGACAGGAAGAGCCCAAAGATTCCTCAGGAATCCATCTGGATCCATCAGTCTCCTGGGGCAGACCATCTTGATTGGCCCTCCACCCCTGCAGAGGTTAGAGGTCACAGCAAGTCTAAAACTGATCAGATGATGGTCAGACCATGACAACGGAAGAATATTTTGCTCTTCCACTCTGACCTTTCCGCTGTCCGCAACATAAACCAGGTCGAGTGTATGTCCAGCCTGATGGGTGGGTCCAGATATAACTCGTGATAGCCCCATGGTCGTCATGGCAACCACGAAGTCCTGAGCCGCTCCTGTTAAAGAGGTCTCTGCGTGGATATTAAAGTCCCCCAGCACAATTAAGTGCTGGGAGACCATGGCCGAATTGGAGACCACATCTGCTAGCTCAGGGTGAATCCCCAAGCTATCATGGTTTCCCACCCTCAGGTGAACACACTCAAAACCAGAGGATTGCAGTACAGCGCATCTGACCACGGCGATGGACTGCCGAAAGACTACTGCGACCCCTCCTCCCCACCCCCAGACCTGGCCTGCTGGTGCACCCCGAAACCAGGTGGGCATAACTGGGTGAGATTTACCCCACTTAGCTCGTCCAACCAGGTCTCATTGATGCAAGCCAAGTCCGCCCTCTCATCCAGGATCAAGTCCTGGATGGCAGCAGTCTTTCCATTGACGGATCTCCAGCAGGGCCTTAAGACTGGGGGGGTCTGTCATGGAGTCTACCATTTCCTACCTTCTCCAGGGTCGCAAGAACTCTGTTGCACTTCTCCCTGGGATGTTGGTGACCAGCAAATCTTCTCCCTCACACGACCTGAATGGTGCCCATCTCCTCCAGAACCCCTCCACCCCCCTGGGAATTAGATTCAATGGCTAGTCAGCTCTCTAAAGAGGGGGAGCTAGGGCGTGATTTCCTTTGGGCGTGTCATATAAGGATGTTTCCAATGTCATAGAAGAAAGGGAATCGTCAAGGGAACTAAGAGGGCTGAAAAGAGGGAGAGTCCTTGGGCGGGAGAGTGTGGCCGATTGAGTGGGGACAACAAGTGCAGATGGAGTTTCTAACTGGTATTGTGCAAGTGGGAGGGTCCTAACCAGGGAGCTATTTGTGGATTTATCACTGGGACCAGATGGAACATGGTGAGAAGGTTCCATGATGTCAACAAGGGGGCGAACCTATGTGTCCACAAGCACCTTCCTGATGGTAATGACCCATTATTTTAAGCAAGGTCGAATTGCTATTAGCTCACCGAGCCACAAATTGTCTTCTGGTGTAATTAGAAGACAAGTAGAGCGATCATATGATTGATAGTCTCTACGTAGCCATATTATATCCTTCACTCTGACTTCTGATGATCTCCTTGAAAGAATTTGAGCCAGAGATTTGCAGACCACCCTCCTTAGAATCATAGAATCAAAGAGTTGGAAGAGACCTCATGGGCCATCCAGTCCCTGCCAAGAAGCAGGAATATTGCATTCAAATCACCCCTAACAGAGGGCCATCCAACCTCTGTTTAAAAGCTTCCAAAGAAGAAAGCCTCCACCACACGCCGGGACAGAGTGTTCCACTGCTGAATGGCTCTTACAGTCAGGAAGTTCTTCCTAATGTTCAGATGGAATTTCCTCTCTTGTAGTTTGAAGCCATTGTTCCGCGTCCTAGTCTCCAAGGAAGCAGAAAACAAGCTTGCTCCCTGCTCCCTGTGGCTTCCTCTCACATATTTATACATGGCTATCATATCTCCTCTCAGCCTTCTCTTCTTCTGGCTAAACATGCCCAGCTCCTTAAGCTGCTCCTCATAGGGCTTGTTCTCCAGACCCTTGATCATTTTAGTCGCCCTCCTTTGGACACATTCCAGCTTGTCAACATCTCTCATGAATTGTGCTGCCCAGAATTGGACACAATATTCCAAGTGTGGTCCAACCAAAGCGGAATAGAGGGTAGCATTACTTCCCTAGATCTAGACACTATGCTCCTATTGATGCAGGCCAAAATCCCATTGGCTTTTTTTGCCGCCACATCACATTGTTGACTCATGTTTAACTTGTTGTCCACGAGGACTCCAAGATCTTTTTCACACGTACTGCTCTCGAGCCAGGCATCGTCACCCATTCTGTATCTTTGCATTTTGTTTTTTCTGCCCAAGTGGAGTATCTTGCATTTGTCACTGTTGAACTTCATTTTGTTAGTTTTGGCCAATCATCTCTGTAATCTGTCAAGATCGTTTTGAATCCTGCTCCCGTCCTCTGAAGTATTGGCTATCCCTCCCAATTTGGTGTCATCTACAAACTTGATGATCCTGCCTTCTAGCCCTTCATCTAAGTAATTAATAAAGATGTTGAACAGGACCGGGCCCAGGACGGAACCCTGCGGCACTCCGCTCGTCACTTCTTTCCAAGAAGAAGAGGAAGCATTGGGGAGCACCCTCTGGGTTCGTCCATTTAACCAATTACAGATCCACCTCACTGTAGTTTTGCCTAGCCCACATTGGACTAGTTTGTTTGCCAGAAGGTCAGGGGGGACCTTGTCAAAGGCCTTACTGAAATCCAGGTACGCTACATCCACGGCATTCCCCGCATCTATCCAGCTTGTAACTCTATCCAAAAAATAGATCAGATTAGTCTGGCATGACTTGTTTTTGATAAATCCATGTTGACTATTAGCGATGACCACATTTGTTTCTAAGTGTTTGCAGACCACTTCCTTAACAATCTTTTCCAGAATCTTGCCTGGTATCGACGTGAGGCTGACCGGACGGTAATTGTTTGGGTCATCCTTTTTTCCCTTCTTGAAGATTGGGACCACATTGGCCCTCCTCCAATCTGCTGGAACTTCTCCCGTTCTCCAAGAACTCTCAAAGATGATTGCCAATGGTTGATGGTCCTTGAGGTCCATCAACCTCAAGGACCATCATGGTATATTGGGGGTTCCCGGGGGGAGGATTGTGGGTGATGGCAAAAATTCCTCCCGGAGATGCTGTGAGTTCCTATTGTAACTCCGCCATCTTGGGAGGGAAAAAAAGACCTTGCTTTTACTCTTGCTGAAGCCTCACCAAACTACAAATCCCAGCATGGCAGAGCATTGAGCCATTACATGAGAGGGTGGATGGACAGACGCAGAGCCCACGACGTCTGCCTCCAGGGCTTCCTCTTTTGGGCCATCGCTGGATGCTGCTTCCTTCACACCCGTTTCCTTGGACACAGCCTCCCAGGGAATTTGTGTTGCTCAACAGAATCAGGTGAATCCAGAACAAAACACACAAGACAGAACCCCCCCCCCCTTTCCCCGAGGCTTTGAACTGGGACGTCCAGGAGGAATTGAGCCAGTGCTCAATTAAGCCTCAGAACCAATTTACAGGTAAAGCTTACGCTCTCAAGCTTATCTGCCAGGCCTCTCTAATTATTGTTCGCAGAGTTCCTGAGCACGCCCAGAGTGCTTCTCTGTCTCTCTCCCCAGTGAGGAGATGGGCTAAACAGTACCAATCATCATATTAAATAAGAAGAAGAAGAACAACAACTTTTACCATGTGGGGAGCTGGGCCTAATAGTAAGGAGGAGGAGGAGGATGAGTAAAATTGGGCAAAGAGTACCAATCATCATCATCATCACATAATATTTTGCCAAATGGGGAGATGGGCAAACAGCAGCGGCAGCAACAACGTCTTCCAAATGGAGAAATAGACAAACAATGCCATTTATTTAATTATTTATAATTTATTACCTGCCTCTCTCTCCTGGAGGCTTGAAAGGCAGGTGGTGAATGGGACGAAGCAGCCTGTGGGGCTCAAACATACCCCTTTCCCCTCTCCTTCGAATATATTGTATGTCTTTTTTCCAATTAGTAATGTCATCAGAAGGCCCTGTTGAAAAGAATGAGCAGGAGAGGGCTGGACTCTGGAGAAAGGGTTTATTAGCATTGCTTTCGGAGGGGCATAAATACCCAAGGAGCATCCAGAAATCCTCCCTGGGGCTCAAGGTGGCAGCAGAGGAGGAGAATGAGTGCTGTGGGGGGGCCCTGGCTGGGGGGCGTGGGGTGGGCCCCACTTCCTCTGGCGTCGGCGGAAGAGCAGGAACAGGAGGGCCCCCAAGGCCAGCAGGGCTGCCAGCAGGGGCAGCAGGATCCTGACGGGGCCTCGGGGGGGCCTCTCTTTGGGGCCCAGCTGCACGGAGGAGGAGGAGGAAGAGGAGGGCAGGGGGCAGTCGGCAGGGGCAGCACACCCTGGAAAGAGGAAGTGGACAAGGGAGATAAACACCCCAAATTAATACACACAATAACAATAACAATAGCAACAACAACACTATGTAACATGCTTTTTGTTCCTGGGTGATCAATGTCATGTCCTAATTGGTTCTGTCATAAAGCATGAGGCAAATGGATTCAACTGTAAAATAGTTATAATATATAATACTACAGCAGTAATAATAATATAGGAGCCCCCGGTGGCGCAGTGTTAAAGCACTGAGCTGCTGAGCTTGTTGATCGAAAGGTCGCAGGTTCGATTCCGGGGAGCGGCGTGAGCTTCCGCTGTCAGCCCTAGCTTCTGCCAACCTAGCAGTTCGAAAACATGCAAATGTGAGTAGATCAATAGGGCGTGGGAAGGTAACGGCGCTCCATGCAGTCATGCCGGCCACATGACCTTGGAGGTGTCTACGGACAACGCTGGCTCTTCGGCTTAGAAATGGAGATGAGCACCACACCCCAGAGTCAGACATGACTGGACTTAATGTCAGGGGACTACCTTTACCTTTTAATAATAATATAATACTTATAATAATATAAAATTATGATAGCACTGTTTACACTAATCATTGTCATCCTAATCGCCCTGTGGGGTGTAAAGCCATGGCAAATGCAGGGGGGGGGGGGCTCACCTCGACATGTCCCGCTGGGGCCTGGTTTCCAGCAGCCCCCCTTCAAGGCAGCTGGGCTGTTCCGCGCCATCATGTCCTCTTCCGTCCCATAGAGCTTCAAGGTGGCACCATCCAGGAACCCTGTCAGGCAGAATCAAGGCAATGTGGAGGGAGATGCATATACACACAAATATAGACATGCTTTAAGAGCCCAAAGCAGCTGTGGAATAGTTTGGATGTCAAGCATAAATATAGGATCAGGAAGATCGAAGGGACCCCAAAATGTCCATCCAGTTTAGCCTCCTTCTTTCTGCCAGGCAGGAATAGCACAATTCAAGCCCTCCTAACAGGTTGCTATGCAGCCTGTTTACATGCCTCCAGAGAAGGAGCTTCCACCGGCATCTGAGGCCCCCCAAACAGCACACGGAAAGAGGGGCAAGGTGGAAGGGAGGCCCACCTGTGTTGTCGGCGTCCCCTTTGTTCTCCAGCAGGAGGGTCCAGGTGCCCCGGGGGTCTTCGTCCCAGTGGTGCGTGGACATGAAAGACCAGTCCCGGTAGCCCTGGCGGCTGGTGTCGGAAGGCCTGCTGGGCAAAGGGACACACAGGCGTCACCCGGGGGGGAGGGCGTATTGGAAGGGACTGCAAGGGCCATCTAGTCCAAAGCCCTTCTGCTTTCATGCAGGAAAAGCATCATCAAAGCCCCCCTGACAGATGGCCACCCAGACTCTTTTTAAAAAACTTCCAAGGAAGGGGCTTCCACTGGACCCCAGGTCAGAGTTCCACTGCTGAACAGCTCTCACAGTTAGGAGAGAACTGTGCATGATGAAGATGATGGAGATGCTAGAGATGGTAGAGATGATGATGATATAGATGATGGATATTATGAAGATGGAATGGATAGAGAGGATGAAGATGACAGATGATTAAGATGATGGGGATAAAAATGATGGAGGATGGAGACAGGATGATGGAGATGCTAGAGATGATGGTGATACAGATGGTGAGTATTATCAGAGGTGGCCCTAGGTAATTTTCAATGGTAAGCAAACAGTATTTTGGTGCCCCCCCCCCCCACCAATCACTGATATATATTTTCTGTTTGTCGTGGGAGTTCTGTGTACCATATTTGGTTCAATTCCATCATTGGTGGAGTTCAGAATGCTCTTTGATTGTAGGTGAACTATACATCCCAGTAACTGCAACTCACATATGTCAAGGTCTATTTCCCCCCAAAAGCGCCTCAAGAGCGCCCCTGGGCAAAATCAACTATACTGCAAATGCTTACTTTGCGTAATGGGTTGAGCCGCCCCTGAGTATTATGAAGATGGAGATGATGGATAGCGATGATGAAGACAACAGAGATGATGAAGATGGGGATAAAGATGATGGAGATGATAAAGATGATGGCGATAGAACAATGGAGATGATATAGATAATGGAGATGAAGATGAAAGAGACGAAGGTTATAAAGATGAAGGAAATGATGATGGAGACAGTAATGATGAAGATCTGGCACCACAAGGTGCAGAGCCAACCTTAAGAAATGGGCCACAAAGCAAGGTCCGTGACATGCGAGTACGGAGAAGAGCAAACCACAGACCACCTACTACAATGCCCTGCCACATGCACAATGGAGCACCTTCTTACAGCAACACCAGAGGCACTCCAAGTGGCCAGCTTCTGGTCAAAGGAAATTGAGTATAATGCCAAGTTTTTAACTTAGTTTGTGGTTTTTCTATACATTATACCTGTATTCTCAATTCACTTCTGAAATAATAAATAAAAAAATGGCACTCCACCAGTCTCTTCTTTCTAGGATGAAGAAAAGCAACCACTGGGGAGAAGCACCCTTTGGGTTTGGCCGCTTAACCAATTACACTGTTCTACAAATTTTCAGTTTTTCTCAGTTACAGAAACGAAATGTGCCATTTCTTAATAAATTTAACATGCTGAATTCAAATATAATAATTAAATGTGTTAATTGGCTCTGGTTTTTATGCAACAGCTATTTCAATTTTCTCCACAATAGGTAATTCGTTAATATTATGATAATGCGCCTAACCTTACTGCATGTATATAAACCGTGAATATTTACTAAATTTTAGTCAAATTATATTGCCAATAGTTTATACATGAGAAATATTTATTTAATTAGTCTATTGTTTATGTTTGTGCAGCAAGAAACTATATTAGTAGGCCTAATGCAGTTGAAAAGTCTGAAAGTTTAAATGTCGCTTTAATCGTGACTTTAGTTTATATCCTGTTTGCTTCTCTTGACTTTTCTTTTGTATTCAAGGAAAGGATTGTCTCTTACAATGCTCCAGCAGTAGTCTGACAGCATTGACGGAGTTCATTTGCCTTGATATCTTTTTTCCATAGTGCTTTATTTACACACGTGCGAGGCATAACTACAGTAAAAAGAACAATGTAAAACGATGTTTAACGATACTGTCTCAGTCTTCAACTGACTGACCCTCACCGTTCAAAAGTCTGGCCTTATAGAGGGCTTTCTGGCTTTTGCACACGGCACTAATACTGCGTCATCAAACTTTCTAGAGTATTCTAGAATCTTCCATAGTGTAAGTCGCAACATGCATTTTTTCAAACATACATGATCACGTGATTGCTTATATTGTAAAAACTAGAGCCAATATACATTTTTAAATGTCATTTTCGTTTTCAGCACCCCAAAATCATAAAAGAACAGCTATTTTCAGGCCCTCAACTTTCTAGAATCTTCCATAGTGTAAGTCACAACATGATTTTTTCAAACATATGTGATCACGTGATTGCTTATATCATAAAAACTAGCGCCAATATAGATTTTTAAATGTCATTTTCGTTTTCAGCACCCCAAAATCATAAAAGAACAACTATGTTCAGGCCCGAAACTTTTTCTCCGTTGAACAGTGTTACCGATTCGCCTCAGAGTAGCATTGCCGAACCCACATTGGATTAGGGAGATCCTGACCCCACGCACCTGACGTCGACCAAGACAGAGCGGGTCCCCCTGGGGCTGGAGAGGGAGATGGCCAGGTCCCCGCGGCGGCTGTAGCGCAGAGAGAGCTGGACCTGGACGTGCTCCAAGGAGCGGATCCAGCGGCTCTCCCCCAGGCAAGACCCCGTCATGTTCCGGGAGACCCGAAGCCCCGGCCCCGCCAGCCGTCTGCCTCCGGAAAGAAAGATCATCAATCAATCATCATCATACTTTATTGACTCGAGTCTCATGCGTCATCAAATCTAATGCTCACCCCCATTTTCAAAACCCTGGCACCCCAAAGGATTTGCTGCCGAATGTCATGCGCAACAGCAAAAAGTGCCCTCTTCATGTTGCAAATTACAACCTTCCTCAAGTCTCCTCTAGTAATTTGTTTATAATCTTGCTGCTAACTTATTGTATGTATGTTCTGGGATGCAGCTTTCTTTCCTTGCTCTATGTTTTCCTAAGAAGTTGTGAGAGGGGTCGCAGGTCACATGATCTGCTCTGGGATGAGCACAGAGCACAGACTCCTTTAGATTTTGTGACTGGCCAGATAGCAGCCTTGCAAACACTTGCCTGTTGTTTATTTCTACGAGAGATGTTCTGACCGGATAGCACAGAAACTATCTCAAACATACCTGTAACTGACTGAAAAGTTGTGTATATTATTTTTCCCAAGTCAACTTTATTTTGTCTCTTGAGTGCATAATATAAAACAAGTTGTTTTATGGGAGAGTAGATATATTTTGGGGCACTGAAAAACACCCCTCAAGAACTGCTATGTTATGCACTGGCATATTCTCCGTTTCCTCACAGATCAGAGACAACAGGTTATTCAGTCTAACAACTGAAGCCAATTACCTTTGTATAATTACATTTGGTTGTATACCACTTGAGAAGATTCTACTCAAATGGGTTTTTGGCTCTTCTCTAAAAGGTTGTGAATACCATTTACTAAAAGGTTATGATCTCTAAAAGGTCATGCTTTTCCAAAACTTTGTCATTTGGTCATACACTCACTTTCTTCTTTAAAAGCAAAAGTGTTAGGACACCAAAGCTTCCAACAACAGAAAGGAAAACCTTGGGTGCATCTTTGCTGCAGAATGAATCCACTTCAAATAATAATAGTAATTATTATTATTATTATTATTATTATTATTATTATTATTGTATTTTTTTTTAGTGTGAGCCACTTTGAGTCTTCTTTGGGAGAGAAGAAGTGGGATATAAATGAAGTTGAGCATGCCCCCCCCCCCCAACAAGGGATGATGACTTATAATTCTGCAAAGGACAAAGGTACCAGACTACACAATAGGGGTTAAGTCTTGGTCAATTTGCCAAGACCTTAACAACAATGAGGACCCCATGAAACTTCGGGAATGGCTAGACCTTGGGGTCTCTGCCTCTCTCGAGAGCTGTAGTTTTCCAAGGACCAGGAAGGATCTGGATATTTTTACACATGTTGATTCACAACACTCATGAACACAATAGATCAGCCTTGCTTGAGCTCTTTGTCTCGCCGGCCACATGGCATTTCCTTTGTTTAAAGATCATCCCGCCTCCATCTCTCCTGATTGGCTGTGGCCACCAGGTGGCAGAGGTCTCCTCATTGGATCCTACGGACCACTGGAGCTTCCTGATTGGTCCAGAGGCACCGGGGGTGGGAGGGCCGCCTCCCAGCTGTTCGCCCATCGCCCAATCATGGCGGGGAACAACAGGGAAGCCGGGGTGGGGAGTTTGAACTCTGCAACTCTGAATTTGCTATAAATATGACTGTATTGGTGTACTCCCCTCATGCTTAGCTTTGGCGAATTATTGCAGCTCTGCATTCGTTTCAGCTGAATCGCACTAAACCTCGATGACTTTTCTTCAACTGGTGAGATTTTTCATTGGGAAATCAGGGGAAAATATGGGATGCTTCTCTGTCTTGCCAGGGAAAAAGAACTCTTTGATGAGTCTAATTGGTCTCTGCCTCCTGGCAAAGACCCCTAAATTTTAGCTCTATAAATTAAATACTATCTATCTATCTATAGCCATAATAAAAGTGTAAATGTTTATGCATGTGTGTGGCTGAGATACCCACTTCCACAGACAGGCTCTATGTAACATACTGGCCTACTGTGCAGGGCTGGTGTTTGGTTCCTTAAAGGCCAAAAGCCAAGTAACCATTTTCTTAGCTCAGAACTGAGGGGGCGGAGCCAGCAGGCATCCATTTTGTTAGCACAGAGCGAAGAGGGGCGGAGCCAGCAGGCAGCCTTGAGGATACATGTCTCCACCTGATTGGTCAATAGCCCTGGAGGAAGAAAGTGAGTGGAGCTAAGACGAGGCAAGGCAAAGAAGGGAGCCATTTTATGTCAGTTGGAGCTTGGGTTTTGAAAAGGGAGGAAGGAGTTTTAGGTTAGAAGTGGAAGTTTAGCTTCAATAGTTACCTCAAAGAAGAACTATTTTTTTAAACAGACCCTGGTGATTGGGCTGTTTGTAATTAAGGAACTGTTTCTTGGAAGACTAAAAGTTTCTTGGGTTTTGAATGTTTTGAATGGAACCTGCAAATTAAGCTCTGAACTACTTCTGAAACCATCACGCTTTGTACAAGTATTACTGCAACCATTAAGCTTCTGTGCCCGTTCTAAATAAATAAATAAACAATTTTCTTTGTTCATACCAAACAAAAGTTTCTGTGTGCCTCACATACAAGCTACAGATATAAGGAGGTAGCCTGTTGAAATGTTCTGTATTTGGTGGCATCGTGTATTAAACTTTAAGAATAATAAAGGAGACTCTACAGTTGAGTGACACAAAGTCTGATATTCCTAAGCTATTAGGGTATCTGTTACACTCCCACTTCCACAAACAGCTTTAACCTATGGTGCTGAGGAGCCACCGAAAGCCCTCTCTTCAAAGACAATTCAGGCTATAGAGTCATGAACATGCAACCCAACTCCTGCCAATGTCCTCCTCAAACACCACACTGCCCACCACATGGGGACAATTCCATCCTAGATTTTATGTGTTTCCTCCAACACAGGCATCCCAGTGTTCCTTTCTCTCTCTACTGCTGTGAAATTCGCATGACCCCCACCCACTGCCTCTCCCTTAACCCTTTCCTATTCTTTTCTTTGGCACACAGCAAACAGAGGAATTGATCAGCAATTGAACATACTAGAGAGGTTTGGGGGACTGACTCAACATCATGGAAGTTGTAGTTCACCCTGCATCAAGGCAGAGCACTGTGACCCCCTTTGATAATGGAACTGGACTGTCCTTGCCCCCCCCCAACAAGGGATGGTGACTTATAGTTCTGCAAAGGACAAAGGTACCAGACTGCACAATAGGGGTTAAGTCTTGGTCAATTTGCCAAGGCCTTAACAACAATGAGGACCCCATGAAACTTCGGGAATAGCTAGACCTTGGGGCCTCTGCCTCTCTCGGGAGCTGTAGTTCTCCAAGGACGGGGAGCAAAGCTTGTTTCCAGAGACACCAGGTCCATTTGGGCCACTCAAGAACTCCTGCCAGGACCTTTGTGCAACACCCTTGCGTTTTAGCCATCCCCTATGGACACTCTTTCCCCCCACATGGACAAACCTTATGAAATCTTGCCTTTTATGAACTTTAGATATATGAAATGTGTTTTCTGATTTCTTTGTGTGGCAGAAGCCTTTCCCCTTTTCTTCTGACCTTTGTTTCCCCTATATACATGAAGAAACTCCACAAAAGGGACTACAAAGCCCCAAACATTCCAGGATTTTTTTTATCCACAACTTCCTTTTGCATGAACAATAGCCTGGGCAGCTGGTGGCCCTCGGAGGAATTGCCCAGCCCTCAGCTTGCCCCTTTGGCAAAGATCTTAATCATATTTCCTCCTGAAGAACAAAAGGCCCTCGAAAATAACCTTTTGCCTTCGCTCTGATTATTCATTCCACTCAAAGCACAATAGATCAGGCTGGCCTTTGTCTCGCCGGCCGCATGGCACGGCACCAGTCTACACATGTTGATCCATTCCACTCAAAGCACAATAGATCAGGCTGGCTTGAGATTTCCCCTTTGTCTCGCTGGCCACATGGCATTATTTTTTTCACATTCATTCATAGATTCCTTTGTGTCCTTTCATCCCGCCTCCCTCTTTTCTGATTTGCTATTGCCGCTAGATGGCAGAAGCCTCCCCATTGGACCCTGCGGACCGCTGGAGCTTCCTGATTGGTCCGGAGGCGCCGGGGGCGGGAGGGCCACCTCCCAGCTGTCCGTCCATTGTCCAATCGCAGTGGAGTGCGGCAGGGAGGCTGGGGCGGGAAGATTGAACTCTGCAACTTTGAAAACTCTATATAAATGGCTGTATCAAATGTATTTCTTTATGCTTGCATGTGAAGGATCACTGCAATTGCATCCGCTTCAGCTGAATCGCTAATAAACCTCGGTGCCACTTCTTCGCCTTGGCAAGAGTCTCATTTCAATTATTAATATTAATAAAATTGCTGGAATCAGGCTTCTCTGATGGCTCGCCAAGGTCATGGGCCCTCTTTGGTGCGGTCCTAGGGGTCTCTCTTACTGGGGAGACTCTCCTAAAGTCCGTATTGACTTCATACCTGTTCTGTGTACATTTTGGCACACAGAACCCCCATGGCCAATGAGAAATACTGGAGAGGTTTGGGGAGAATTCACCTTGAGTTATAGGAGTTGTAGGTACCGGCAATCCAAGAACACTCTGAACTCCACCAACGGTGTACCTGGAACTAACTTGGCACACAGAATCCCCGTGACCAAGAAAAAAATACTGGAGATCTTTCAAGGAATTTATAGGAGTTGTAGTTCACCCTACAACCAGACCGTAGTATGAACCCAAACAATGGTGGATCTGGAGCAAACTTGTCATGCATACCCAATATGCCCAAATTTGAATACTGATGGGTTTTGAGGGGAATTGGCCTGGACATTATGGAGTTGGAGGTACTGGGATGTATAGTTCACCTGCAATCAATGAGCCCTCTGAACTCCACCAAAGATGGAATTGGACCAAACTTGGCACAAAGAGCCCCCGTGACCAGCAAAAAATACTAGAGCTATTGGGGGAAATTCATCTTGATTTGGGGGAGTTGTAGTTCAGCTCCATCCAAAGAGCACTGTGAACCCAAACACCAATGGATCTGGACCAAACTAGGCACACTGACCTGATATGCCAAAATTAGATTACTGGAGAGGTTTGGGAGGAACTGACCTTCCCTTCTGGGAATTGTAGTTCACTCCCAACCAGAGACACTGTGGCTTCCACTGATGATGGACCTGGACCACACTTGGCACAGAACTCCGAGTAACTCAACCTACTGGAGGGGTTTGAAGGGACTGACTCACCATAGTGGGAATTGTAATTCACCCTACAACCAGAGAGCAAACTGGACCCCTCCGACAACGCATCTAGAGCAACATAACAAACCTGAAGTACTGATGGAGTTTCAGGGGGTTAACCTGGCATAATGTGAGTTGTAGTTCACCCACAACCTTATGCATTTTGTACAATTACAAAATAGACTTTTTCAAATAACCCAGGCAACACCAGGTACCCAACCTTGTATATAACAACAACAACAACAACAATAATAATAGTAATAATAATAATTTTAGTGTGAGCCACTTTGAGTCTGCTTTGGGAGAGAAGAAATGAGATATAAATACTATATGACCCTGCTGACTTTCTCATACCAATAGGTACACATTACTTTTTGCCTTTGGCCTGAAGGAGAATGTTTCTCAATGTGTCTAAAATGTGCCAGAGATGCCTGGCACATCCTGGACTTTTACGTGTTCTCCCGCAGGGAAACCCAGTCAAACCAGTCCTGAATTGGGGGGGGGGGCAATGGGGGATCCTTTGTGCATCCCTCCCTCCCTCTTTCTTACATAGGCTGCTGGAGCATCTTGACAGCGCATTGCCTCTGTGGCCGAGTGGCATTCCACGTTGTGGCCAAGGCCACTAAGGCCCCAGCGTCCAGGAGCCCATATCCGTAATAGTGACTCACTGAAAGGACAAACAGAAACCACAAGGAAACACACAGAAAGAAACAAAGGGAGAAAGAAATGGCTTTTAGAAGAGCTTGTTCCTGAGGTTCCCAGACCTGTCTCCATTGAGGGGAGACCTATCCCCAGATGTTCTTCAATGAATAAGACGTACTAGGTTCTTGTGGGGTTTTTTGGGCTATAGGGCCATGTTCTAGAGGCATTTCTCCTGACGTTTCGCCTGCATCTATGGCAAGCATCCTCAGAGGTAGTGAGGTCTGTTGGAATTAGGACAATGGGTTTATATATCTGTGGAATGGCTGGGGTGGGGCAAAGAGCTCTTCTCTGCTGGAGCTAGGTGTGAATGTTTCAACTGATCACCTTCATTAGCATTTGAAGGCCTGCCTGAGCCTGGGAAAATCTCTTGCTGGGAGGTGTTAATCTGTGCCTGGTTGTTTCCTCTCTGTTGTTTTTCTGTTGTAATTTTAGAGTTTTTTTTAATACTGGTAGACAGATTTTGTTCATTTTTATGGTCTTTTCCTTTCTGTTGAAATTGTCCACATGCTTGTGGATTTCAATGGCTTCTCTGTGTAGTCTGACATGGTGGTTGTTGGTGTGGTCCAGCATTTCTGTGTTCTCGAATAAAATGCTCTGTCCAGGCTGGTTCATCAGGTGCTCTGCTATGGCTGACTTCTCTGGTTAGCAGGAGAGGATGCCTCTAGAACATGGCCATATAGCCCAAAAACCCCCACAAGAACCGAGTGATTATCTGAAAGTGGTTTTGGACAT